TCTCAAGTACGTTTTTCCCTGACCTCACTGGGGCAGTATTTATTTTGCCAGTTTAGGAGTGCCATACGTCTTAGACTTCCATAGGCAAGAGTTCTCTCATCAGTGACCTGGCTTTGCTGCTTATTTTGTTGGGAGTGTAATTGTGCCCCTGGGGAGATACGGAGACAGGACATGCACGTCATGATAGAAACAAAGTAATGTTCCTACCACTTTTGATCTTAAACTAGGTGAACTAAAAAAAGAGATATGCTAGATGAATTAAAAAAAGAGATATTTACATCTTTTTAACACACCTGTGTATCCTGTAGCATTCCTACCAATAAATGTTGCTGACATCAGATATGCTTCTAGAGCATTTGGTGTAATTCTCCTTCTGTTAATGGGCTCCTAGCAAATATTTCATGCTTTTGAGCCTGATGCTGCATAAGCTTTTACTAGCTGGGAATTCAACACAGAATTATGACTCTCCATCCAGAAAAGAAAGGGAGCCTCCTTCTCACCTCCTAGCCTCATGTGCACACCTTCTGGAGTCCCATGCAAGCTACCATCAGAGTAAACGGAGCAACTCATTTATTTCCTTCTGTGGACATCTTATGGGACTGGGCAGAGGAACAGCAGAAACAGATACCCAAATCAACTCATCAAGAGTGATTGGGTCAGTAAGGTGTGGGATGGAAATTTGCCACAGGTGAAGGTAAAATACCAAGACTATTATACTCCAATCCTTTCAGGAGATGTCTGTGAGTTACGTTTCCTAGGTGATTCCAGAGGCAGCTTCACCAGTGCTTGTAGATGTTCCTTGAAGTTTGAACTCAGCTATGTTTTTATTAATGTAGTATTATCTAACGGACAGCAGCCTGGATTGGAAAATGCTGCATACATGGGGAGTGTGTCCACACAGTGGTTGGCCTGTATTAAAACTGCAGTCAGGCAGGATCAGGCTTTACTGCCCTAGGAGCTACAAAGCAGGAGGGAGGTCCTGGCCCCTTGTCCTGAGTAGCTTTCAAACTAGTGGAAGTACGGTACTAAATGCATACTAGAAAGAGAGTTGGCATATACTGGAGTTAAAAAATATATTTTATGTTTCAAGAAACATCTCAGATGATGGATCTACCTGTAGCACAGTATTTTCATTCCAAAGAATTCATGACTTACAGCCTTTTTCTAGCTGTTTTAAGAAAAAATAGCTTGGCAATAAAGGACAATTTGAAGATGTAATTTGGAAAACACTCAACTGCATTTTTAACAGCATCTTCAAGCTGTTTATGTTATTAAGAAGTAATTAAATTATTTGAAGTAAGTCACTGTAACTTCAATGGCTAACTGTATCTCAGGATGTTAATTTTTGGCAGTAGAGGAAATTATACAGTCCGTGCTCTCGTTTAAAATGTTAAATGTTTATCTTGAATTATTACACAGTTATGCTAGTTCTAAAGATATTTTCTTTCTTCAGGGTAAGGGAGAATGTCCCCAAACATGCTGACAGGTAGATGTTTACAAGTGCTGGTGATTCCAGGTTTAATTGTGACCTTTCAGAGTTGTTCCTGCATTTGCCACAGACTAATTGCTCAACATTTCTCATTGTTTGCACTGGGGAGTAAGTGCTTTGTATCCATCCAGATTTATGGTATTGCTGTTGCTTTGCTCACTCAATTATTCCATACCTCAGCTCCTCATTTAGTGCAAACTTTCTGTGCCTTGTATGACGGAAACAAAGATGTGATATTTCTTCCTGTTTGCAAATTATTATGAGCTTATGTCGCAGATGGCAAATGCTTTATATAAAGAAAAATGTATTAGCTGCTCGTATAAATGCTGAGGATTCTTTTGATAGTTAGGCCTATCAGATTATCAGACTCATGCTAACATCCTGTGTTCTGCCAACTTCCTGGGACACCTCAGCAATTCACTTAGTTTCTCAATATATGTATCCCCTGCATTCTATGCAAAATGAAATTATAGCATTCATGTACTTCACAGAATGGTTGTGAAAACAAATGCGTTGAAGGCTGGAGTGGTCAAATATGTTAACATGGGTTTCAGAGCCACAGAAAATGCTGTTAAGCAAATTATTCTTTAAAAAGTCGTGATTTGTTTCTTTCAGGAATCGTGGCGGAAGTAGAGTCTATGGAACAATTTGAACCAGACCTTTTTAAAGAGCAGATAGGGTGTATGAAATCTGAGGCATGGCACTCTAAGCAGAGAAATGGCATAGGAAAGAAGTAGTCAAATAGGGTGTTACAGCCAGTGTCATTAGTGGATGGTTTAAAGATTTTTTTTTTTTTATCTTGTCTGCTCACATAGTGTTGATTTATTGAGTGGATATACAATTTTGTCACCTCAAGGGGTATTTTATATCTAATCTTATCAACTAAAGAATTTGGAAACCTAATCAATACCTGCATAGATGACTTAAGAGGGAAGCTTTCATGTTACAGGAAGGATTTGGTGAATCACCAGATGGTGCCCTTCTGTGTCAGGCAGTATGGAATAACTGCCCAAATGCAACATGAGACTTTGCTGCAAGAGTTGCCAGCTTTTGGATAAGTCCTGGAACAAAGGTTTATTCCCTGTAGACTAATGTTCTAGCACTTTGTTTGGTTGGGGTTTTTTATTGAGAGCAAAGTATCCGTGTTTTGACCAGTACTCTGGCCTAGATTCATTATCTTTGTTTAAAGTGGGTATCATACGTTGTATTTCTTATTCTGAATTGAAGCATGTAACGAAACATCCGTTTATAAAATAGAAGAGGCAATCTCTGTTAACAGTCATCTAACAGTAACTAAAGCAGCCTAATATAACATTGGTTGGGATAAAAATTTTATTATTATGTGATTACTACTTTAGTGCTATAAGCATGTAAAAGTTATTAGAATAGTTTGCTGTAGAATTACAGTGAGTGGCTATCAAATACTAATAAATAGAAAGCACATACTGCATACTAACTTCATATGAAATATTGTTTAAATTGCAGCCATTTGCCATTTAAAAAAATATTTAAAAAATTAGACCTCATTAGATGAGGGGTTTTTTCAAAATTGAATTTTGATCTGGTTCCATTTTTAACAGATAAGTTGAAAACTCCTGACAGGAGGAAAGAGGATGTTAATGGAATTATTTACACACTGTTAATGACACGAATGCTAGAAGGCTACCCTCCAATAATTAATGTTATTAGAAATTATATATAGATTCCTGGTCAAGAATATATTGCAGAAAAGCTCTTGTCAGACCAGCTGACTCATGGCTGTCAAACAGTCTGAAGGAATGTATTTGGGATTCTCTACCCAGAGCAAATGGGACACAAAACGATCAGAGAAAGGGAAGGAGGAAGTGATGACTGAACTGCCAACACACTTGGTCCTGCTTCCTCATCCCCACAGTGACACTTGTGCCAAATATGTGTTGTGTTGTCCCTGAAGGACTTCAAGTGCTTTGATACTCCATTTTGTGAAATTATTTGTACTCTGTGGATGAAAATTACCTTGAAAGCACAAAATATTAATTAAAAAAATCGCTTTTCCCAGCAAAGAAATAGGGTTGGGAAATAAGTATATGTGTATAAAGCTTTGTTTGTACTTGGAACTTCTTATAAAAATATGTTTGGGATCTACAGTACAGAAAAGACTCAAAGGACAGGGGGTTTAGATTCTGTACAACCATGAAAGCCTTCACTTGCCTGAAATTCAAAAAAACAAAACAAAAAAACCCCAAAAATCTTCCATTTTTCCAGTCTTAGGTTACTAGCCTTAGTCAATATCTGCTCATTTATCAGACCCACACAAGACAAGTGGCCTCTCACACAACAGCTCTCTCCTGGTACCAGAGCCCTTCTCAGGCCAAGCTGCCGTGAGTTGCAAGGCAGCCTGCAGTCCCTGCCCAGCATCACTGGGGCCCATGCTTGCTCCTTGCACGCCAGCTCTGCAAAAAGAAAGGATGCAGCTCTGAGGCCTTTTGCAGGTAGTATCACTATCCTGGGGATGCTTGTGGTGTCTTCTCCCTTCAGTGTGGCAGAAAAAGCAGGTGTTGTTTGCTAGTCCATTAGCATCAGTAGCAGTGAGGATCAACAACTCACTGCGATTGCAGGACTCCTTGCTGAGTGAAGTCCTAGCTACTTACACAAATACGAGTACTGATCTAGTACTATTTATTCTTTTAGCCTCTGTGTATTGGGAAATAGATGTAGAAAGGGTGGAGATCACATCCTGAAATTTCCCAAGCTCATATTGTCAAGTTAATTTTTTTTCCCCAGCTTTTAGTAGAACCCGAACAGATTTGATCTAAATTTTAGCGCCAGTGTTATTGTGAGAAGGAGCTCCAAATGGATGGTGCTCATACGGTTGATCTATTTTTAAAAGAAAACCCTATTTAACTCTCAGAATATCAGATTTGCCACTCTACTTTTCCATAAGTATCAGTTACCTTTGGAACTGAAAACCTGAAAGACTTGGAGGGTGCACACTGTCGATATTTTATGGCCTACTGTGAAGGATCCTTAACCTTTTCATTCTAGTTACTCTGACAATGCTTTCTCCCCACATCAAATTAAATTTTAATTGATCCCACCATCATGCTTTTGGAATCACTTAAGATGCTTCCCATTGAGATCTGCTGTTTATGTGAAATCAACTATCACTGGTTTTCACTTTACTCAAGGAGCTCTTAAGAGGAGGATACTTGCTGTAAAAGATTCCAGGTTTCTGATTCCTGTTCCTCAAAATTCATTTATGTGAAAGTAAATATTTAATATCTGCCAGGCTCAAATAACTAAGCTACACTTCAAAATAAATTGCATAGTAAAAATCCAGTAATTCTAACTGACCAGTAACTTCCATAAACATGTGTCTTCTATCCAGTTGGAATGGACTTTGACAGATCTGCATGTGTTTAGCCATAGCAAGCACAAAGCAATACCTCTGCAGCTGTTTTATCCTCACCTTGAGGATTTCTCTGTGCTGCTGAGACAGGAGAGTTAATTGAATGTTCTTCTTTTCTGGCAGGTACTGGACTGGATTGAAAATCACGGGGAAGCCTTTCTGAGTAAACATACAGGAGTAGGGAAGTCTCTACACAGAGCACGCGCACTGCAGAAAAGGCATGATGATTTTGAAGAGGTAGCACAGGTAAGAGTCTGAATCAGACACTTCTGCTTTCTGGCTTGATTTTGTTACTCCTCTTGTATATTGAGAAAAAAACTATTGCTGTTTTGGGTCACACTGCTCTCTTCAAACATTTGAAGCTGACTGCAATCCTGTCTCACAGGTTTGAAAGTTAGTATGCACACTGTAGAGCATGGTAGCAGCAGGACTTAGAATCAGAAAATCACCACATTGGGTTAATGGGAGGTCTCAAAGCCTATGAGAAATTGCAAGCAGTTTATGGGACAGTAGTGCAAACTGTTGGGACATAGAGGAGGATGGTTACAAGCGAGAGCAATAGAAAAATCAATTGTAACTCCTACAGCGGACACTGAGGACCTTGAGAATAAGGTGGAAAGCAGCAGCTAATAAAGAAGCAGGGGAAACACTAGAGTGTATTTGCAGTAAGGGCAACTACCCTTCCACTCTTTCCGAGAGTACAATGTATTATGTGGAAGGGTTTTTTGTTTGGTTTGGAGAGGCAATCATTACAGGTAGACATTATTATTTTTTATTATTATTAATAATTTTCCTCATAGCACAGTGTAAGCAAGGCTTTTCCAGGTATTTTGGTATGAAGCCAAAAGCTTATAACTTTTCCTCAAAGCATGGTCATAGTAGATGTTTAAACATACATCCTGTCTTTATTTATAGAATTTAAAAGAGGAGCTTTGAAAGTTCTTCCAGGGGCTGAATAGCTTTTTTTTTTTTTTTTTTTAAGTATCTTACAGCCAGAAATTATCCAGTCTCAGCTCTGGCTGTCAGATCATGTTACACCTGTTTGTTTTAGACTTGAAGCATCCTCTATCAGAAATTGATCTTCTGTAAAGGTACTTCTGCTTTGGGTATTTCAGATAAAATCCTGATTATCTATGTAAAGCAGAATGTCTTAAATGCTTCGTCTTCCTGATGCACACAAGGCAGGTTATTTCTCAAATATTTCACTGTGGCATAAGACAAAAATATATTAGACTTTAGTTTTGTTTTTCTGTAGTACCCTTCTCATGTGCTGGCCTTGTTTAGTTTAAGATGTTTCCAGCAACAGGGACATACCTCTTTCACTGTGCCCTCAGGGAAACTATTTCACTGCCTTGTGGCAGCTACTGGCTAGATTTCCCCCCGCCCCCCCCCTCCCTCAATTTATATTTCTCTCAGTCTTCCTCCCCACCTTGTTTATATCCCTTTAGTCTCTCTTAAGGAGATAAATGCCAGGAAAGGAGATGAATTAATAACCTTGAAATATCTGTAGAATGTTAGCATGTCTTCTCCTATGTACCTCTTAACCATGTTAAACATATTTAATTCTGCTAGCATATTCTTATTAACCAATCCCTTAAATATCTTCTGTTACCTATTTCTTTGGATCCATTCAGTTTGCCAACATCCTTCTTTTAATTAGATGCTCAGCTCTTGATGGAGTATTCTATTGCTTGGCTTGCTAGTGAACTTCAGTGTTAGCTTTCAGCTGTGATGGGATGCCTTTGCACACCATTGACAAATCACACAGCCTGAAACCAGCAGTTCCTGACTGGTGGGCCTCTAAAATTTCATGGGACCTCCTGTGGATTTGAACCTTCTGGTAATAGGCTTGAATTTCTAGAATTACCTTTTGCAGATTTATCAAAATGGACCTTAGGCTGGAGGTTGCAAACCACGGTTCTACAAGGCCTCATCCAAAAGCACAAGTTAGTGGGAGTTTTCATCCGGAAATCAACATTAGGTGCCTTTCGAGAAGATGTGCTTGAGTCAGCTGTTCTGGATACAACACTGGGCTAATGAATGAAAATGAAGATAATGTAATATACAGGAGCTGAAAGTAGGTGATATAATGTCCTTTGTGGCATTAATATTTTCTAAATCTCCCTTCTCTATGATACATTTAGCTTCATAATTCCAGTTATTTCTCATATTTCTGGATCACAGTTAGCTTATTTTTTTCCTTTTTACCTCCTCTTTGAGTAGTACTTCACTGGAGATGTAGGAAACAAATTACGAACATGTGAGAAAAGACAGAAAAATAACATGGTCTTGACAACAGAGATGAGAGCAAGTTGTGTAGCTGTCTGGACATGGAAACAACAGCTCACTTATGGCTTGCTCCACTGGATGATGTAATTTGGAGATACATCCCCTCATCAGGGTTTAGGAACCTTACAGATGTGCAGCTTGCATGTGTAGGTACTAGGGTAAGTCAGAATAGAATTATTTCACTTAAGACTTTTCCAGTCCCTCTGTTAGTCCTCCTTCTATACTATTTCAGCATGTCTTGTCTGTGAATAACTTCAGACACATTTCCATTCACTTCATGAGGCCAAATTCAGAATGAAGAATGTATGACTCTAGTTCTCTGGATGACCAAATGTGTTCAAATGAAGGTGGGTGTTTGGGAGGATGATGGAGAGGAAAAAGAAAAGTATAGTTTGCATGGGTATAGAATCTCCTTGGTTCCTCTGAATCTGATTCTTTTACGTTTTATGTGATAGCATCAATGAGCATCTCATTGCTCTGCCTGGACAATTGTGAACAGTCACGATTAGTCCTGCACTCTGGGTGTGAAGTTTATGGTGCTTCCTAATTAGAAATAACTAACACAAGTCGAACCTGGTTACTTCCCCCTTAGCTTTGACAGGAATAGTTTCCTCTGGTGCATTCACATCAGAATACCACTGCTAATTTATGAGGCCTGTCTGACACTGGAATGTGGTGCTGGCTAATGGACATGGGGACATGCACTGAGGGGAAGTGAAAGGAATCTCAGGCTTTATCCGAGGTCAAGGACTTAAGAATATAATACTCTCTGCTTTGGTAAGAGTAATAGTGAGGCTAAGAGGGGAGGCCATAAATTTATCACACCTGGAGTTCTCCTGCAGAAGCTTCTAGTGAGGTCGATTTTGTGGTTGGGGAATAAATCTCCTCCCCACTCTGATTATGACCAGTTTTTATTCTTCCTAACTCCCTTCTTGATGCTTAACTCCTTAGAGTTGTTTGGTAATTACTTCAAACTTAAGTTTAATTATTTGTCATTTTCCTCAAGATAGGTAATATCTTTGCCATGGCTAGGGCGGATAACAGGCATCGCTTATTCCCAATATAGCCATATAATATAAAGCATGTGTGCTAAGATTGTGAAACAAATGCATGAGTTTGTCCATTCCCCTCATCAGGATGTTAATTACTGGCATTAATGACAATAAAGAGTTGTGTTTGTTTTTCTTAAAAAATAAAGTTAAGTGCCCTACCGACATACCTGGTGAGATGGACAGTATAAGTGATAGTATTTCCTATTGGCAGTTCTCTGAAAAAAATACTTAGCCTGCCATACAGTATAAATTTATTCTCTAAAATCTACTTTCTTTTGGCTCTGATGTATTTGTTCTTATCTCCTGTTGTTTCATGAAGGCATTTGCAAAGGTCAGACTAGAAGCAATTTTCATGAGTTTTCCTGATATTTTCAACATTCATGTTTTTGAACGCTGCCTAACTGCATGTAAAGAAGAGTGGTGTATCTGGCGTTGCTCTGCTGAGAAATGCTCTGATTGACTGACCTGCCAAGGCGCTAGATTGAGAGGTGGAACGTGCTCCTTCTATGTCTGATTAGAAACTCCACAGATTTATAAATCTGGATGTAATGATTCAATCAGGCATGGCCCCAATAGATCACATTCCTGCATACAGCTGTGCTCAGAAAATGTCAGTGATTTTAGAGCGCTGCATTGTGGGCAATAGGAAATATAATATGGGGTCCCTTTCTCTCATAACTGCTGTTTAGACAATGCTCTGGCAATTTTTCTGACTGTTTATTCTACATGGAACGCACAGATGGCAAATGTTTGAATTTGGATTAAAAAGCCTGAGCTCCTGGGAGGGAAGTGGTTATCTTGTATATACCTGCAACTGTTTCTCAGCCAGTCCTGATACTGTTCACAGGCTGCCACCCTGAAAATGCCAACCTTAGGCACAGTGCCTACCACACAGTGAAATTTAGTAGTCAGACATAATGGATGAGGTAGTTATCAAGATATCACCAAAGAAATACCACTCTGGACATAGCTGCAATGTTCCTGCAATGACAGCCTCTTTGCTTGGCTGGAATTACTTTGTGCAAATCAGATAACCATAGTTCAGCCAGTTATGATTGTAAATCAAAAGATAATTTCATTTTAGACTCTCTAGCTTTTCCTTATTCAGGGTTTTTATCCTGAAAACCAGTGTGCCTTCTAACTGGAAAATTCTGTTAACTGGTTTGTGTTCCCAAAATCTCCAAACGCTTCAGCTCTACTGAGTTGAGCTGCATGTGTTGGAAACCCTTCTCCTATTCTCTGTATATGAAGAGAGGGGCCACGGATCATTCTCCTCCCTTCTGGCATTCCTGGCAATTGGAGTTTAAGTGGCCTTCTCAACATCCTCCTCTGCTCACAAAGAGCATCACTGCATTTGTGCTGGTGCAGAATTAGGAAAGATACTGGGAAAACTGCTCTCTCAATCCCTTGCACTCTGCTGCCACAGGACTGAGTGGTTTGGTGCTTGCAATGATCTGAAACAAGCATTTCTGTAGTCTTTCTGCATTTATGAGCTTTTCCATCAGATGCGCTGTCAAGATTTCCTATCGGGCAGGTTTATCTGCATTTTTGACATGTGAACGCCCACCACTACGTATTTCAACCTGCAGATGGCACTCGCAATGCATTGTAAAAGCTCCGCTAATGGTAAACAGAGGTGATGTTTCTAATCCAAACGAACCAAACATTGTCTCGAAGTGAAATGAAGCAGAAGTGGAAACTGGCTCTCACACTGTCCCCTTGGTGTTCTCCCACCCCTGCCAAAACCCACGTTGTTCCAGGTCACCCAGAAAAACACCCCACTTTTTTTTTTTTTTTTTTTTTATGCAAAGCTGGGTTGTCCATGCTTTAGTGCAAGGTGGTGTTGTCATCTGTGTTTATGAGATAAGCTGCTCTTGGATCTGTAGAGCCGCTTTCACGGCTCTT